ACATTTCAGGGGAGCCTACATAACCGAAAGGCTCAAAACTTTGCTCCGACGAATTCTGCCCTTTTTTGGTAATTGAAAAATATGACTAAATTTATGACAGCTAAGATGACCTAGCAACCAACGCAAAGGCAACATAAATCAACTATGCCATGCGATTAAGAAAAATATCAGGCTAGCTTTGATCCTGTTCCCATGGTGTGGTAGTTGAATGTTACCAGTTTTCTCAACCTCTGCCAAAATTTGTACTTGGAAAACTGTCAACGAACTCAAACACATGCTAACTCTTCCTCTTATAATGCACAATCATTTAGTTCCCTTCACAGGCATGAGGCTGTCCAAGCGACCAATCCAAAAATGCTCGGCTGGGCTTGCGAATCATGCATAATGAAAAAGTATATATAATAAAGATGATAAATCTGCCTGTTGTTGTAGCTCAGAAACGGAATATCAGGAGTGAATAGCCAAGTCGTTTGTTCGGTTATTGGTTGTGGCTTCAGGCCTCATTATTCCCCGGATACCTTGTTACGATTTGAGGAAAAATAAATATAAATTTTCTTCAAAAGCCTACACTCCTTTCCATTTCCATCCACGTGAACCATAGATTTCATACTACTGAAAATCCTCCTTTTTTCCACATATAATTGCTTCCAGCAGCTTAGCACAATGACGCAAGCAAAGGTAATAACACAGTCTTTGTTGAGTAGTTACACAGAGATTAAAGTACCGTAGCTACATATCTGAACTATTCGGTCATTTATCACCGCCAGGATACACAACTAGGAGGCAAAATCAGCATGGATTTCCTACCTCATGAAATGTCAACCAAAAGTCAGCAGTGCTTTTACAATTTGAAAAAAAAATTAAATTTGATTTGTGCTATTAATTATCGTTTGACATAATCTCAAGATATTTCCGTCACGCCAGGATCCCTGCGTTTGAACGAGCCTCTTTCTAACTGCCTGCAACAAGCATCTTTTTGTAAAAAATGGTTGCGTAAGTAATATGCATTTTATCGTTGATTTTGTATGGGCTTAGAAATTAAAATACATTTTATATAAAACATGTAAAATATATTTTTTTAATCCATTTTGTAGCAATTCCTTCAAATTTCATACTTCAATAAAGGGTAGCTTGCGGTTTTAAAGAAACTTTCTAAATTGCGTAATAACTTTGAACCTTACCAGCTGTTACAGTTGAATTCAACCTTTCCTAACTAAATGCTGTATACACTCCCTCTATGAAAAATCACACAGTTTCTATGATATGATGAAGAGGTTGCATGCTCCTTCCAAAATTTTCTAATGAATGTGGATCATGCTGCATACTTTATAGGCAATACAAATGAATTAATAATCACGCTGTATTATGAGCGAACATCGCATGCTATCCGAAGATCTCATTCCCGCAATTAGTTGAAACCAACGTACAATTTCTTCAGCTATAGCATTTAAAGAAGATGTAATCCGATACCATATGAGTACAAGAAATAATATTTTTTGTCCATATTGTCTATAAAATATGTTTAAATTTCTAAGAGCATCGAAAATCAATTTGAAAAATTCGTACTTTTTGAGAAGTCACCTTTTGCGGAATGTGGTTGTTGCAGACGGTGCGAAATAACCTCGTTCATAGGCCGGTATTCTGATCTGACTAAAATATCTTGGAGTTAGAATGTGAGATAATCAGCATTATAAACGTACTTAAATAATTTGTCCAAATTTACAACACATTCCAGAATTTCGGTTGAGATTTAATGGGATAGGTAAGCTACTGTACAGATACGTTACTTCCTTCATAGCACGAGTAAGATATTTCGCTCTGTCATTTGGCAGATGAGAAGACTGCTAAACGACAAAAGGATATAAACGTTTTCAGAAATGACGTTTTAAAAGTTTAAATATTAAATTATTCTATGAAAAAAGCATAACGTAAAACTGCATTGAAAATGCTTTCCACTAAAAAATGGCGGAATTATGTTTAGAATGGTAATTTTGTTCTCTTAGTAAGTAAACAGAATCACGTAGTTCAGGTATTATTTATTAAAAGTCTAAAACTGGAGCATGTTTATTTAAACTGATCGCATCTCCCATTTAAAACCATTCACAACAACACAAACGGAGCAAAACCTGAGATTTCTCCCCTCGCCACTTGCATGTACAACCCCGCCGTCGAGTAATTATTATTATGGCGAACTTACGAACTAGATGCCAAATAAACCATACACAGAAGACAATGGGATTGATATTTTTC